ATTATGTCTATTTTCATTTAATTTGGTATATGGTTGTATAATGACATCATTCTGATAAGTGGGGAGTTGCGACCTAAGTTACTTTTACAGAAACGTTCTTTGAACAACTTGTACACCTTAAAGCGCGGTAACTTATTTGGTACAGATGTATTAATTTGCGTACAGTCTATATGGTTATTCAATAATTTATGCAAAAATACAAGATCTAGTGTTTTCCTTCTATTTTTGAGAGTTGTCATTTTAAAATATTTAAGTTTATAATAATAATAATAATAAAAAGGGCTTTTATTATTATTAAAAGGGCCCTTTTAATAATAATAAAAGGGCTTACCCCTCTATCCTTAGCCAACGAGCAATGGCAGGACCCAGCAGTGCTTAACATTTCCGACCGGGAGACCGTATGGAAGGAGAAGGAGCTCCACGGGAGGTACTACAGGGCTCTACATGAGCCCTTCGTAGATACAATCGCCTCCCTCAACTGGCTACGTTTCAGTGACCTCTTCGGGGGAAACCGAGGGTTTTGTTTGTGCAATACAGGATGCGGTTATTAAGACCAACAACTATCGGAGATACATCCTAAAGGATGGCAACGTCAACGTCTGTCGAGCTTGTCGCCATCCCGATGAGTCGCTTTGTTCGGCGCTTTCTAACTCTGAGTACTTGCACAGGCACAACCTAGTAGCCAGAATTCTACACCAGGAGCTCGCTCTGAAATACGGTCTCGTGGACCGGAAATTGCCGTATTACAAGTACTTGCCGGGAAGCCGTGCTCGAAAATGACCGCGCCAGGCTCTACTGGGATCGGGCCATCATCACAGACAGGACTATTCTTGCGAAGAAGCCTGATATTGTGCTGATGGACCGGGCACAGTCAAGGATATTTTTGGTCGACATTACCATTCCGTATGACGAGAACAGCGTGAAAGCCGAAACAGATCAGCGAACAAAATATCTGGACCTGGCTCACGAGGTGACCGACATGTGGGGTGGTCGGCGGGCCGAAATTATTCCTGAAGTCGTTTCTGCGAATGGGCTAATCCCAGTCAGCCTCTCAGGTCATATGAGTCGACTGGGACTTCGCGACGGACCGCTCCGGGCTCAAATGCAGAAGGCAGTGCTCCTGGATACCGCCCGCATCGTCCGTCGATTTTTTTACCTTTCCTCCTAACCCTCGGCCGTTTGATCTCCCCTGCCGAGGGCTTCCATCTGGTTGAATCTTTATTTATTTATGTATTTTTGTATTTATTTTATTTTATTGATATTTATGTATATTTATCATTTTAATTTATAATTATATATTTATAGAACCCAACCAGATGAGAAAACTGTACAGATATCCCAATAATAATAATAATAATTAAATGGCGTAGGGAATTGACGACCCCATCGCCCGCTGACGTAACAGTTAAGTGACAAAACTGCTACGTCAACGCAGTCATTCAGCGCCTTGCGAGAGGTGTGAGCGCCGTGACTCGGCAGAATTTAGGGTGCAAAGGCCCGCCTGTGCTTATGGCCACACTCGATACGGTGCCGGGCCTGGGCGTCTCCCGTTAATGGACGCACAAATAATGAATGATGGATAAGAAGATAGTGCGCATAGAGCCGCTGCCTGGGGATTGCCGGGGTGCGTCTGGAGCTGGCGCTGGACGCGGCAGCATGCGGGCCGCCAGCCGAGCGCGAGGAGCTGCACGGTCACCTAGCAGCCCTCCGCATCCATCATCCCCACCAGAAGGCTTGGTGTCAGCTGGGTCTTCTCGGACTCAGCAAGCGGCACCCGCCGCTGGTGGAGCACGTCGCATGCGTTGGTCACAAGCAATGAATACAAACGCACTGCGGGCGTACTTTGGGGCAAAAGGGGAAGAAACTGGATGTTTGGCGTACCGGGCTAGGATGCATGGTCTTTTTGCTGAGCTGGAGCCATCTTTAACCGTCACAGAGCAAAACCTGGCAGACCGAGTTCGGTATATCTTGCGCTCAAATATATTTGATGTCGCCGAACTCGAACGCCGAACTGCTAAAAATCTCCGGTGGAGATTCGGTTGCCACCTACGACGACTCGACCTGGCAACATATAACGCACGCACCCTGAGGACTGACGAGAAGATACTGGAGCTGGAAGAAGAGGTAGACAAGTTGCGCTGGCATATTATTGGATTATCCGAGGTCCCAAGAGAGGGAGAGGACACGGCAATCCTCGAGTCCGGCAACTTGTTCTATCACCGGGAGGGCGACCACCTGTCCCAAGGAGGTGTCGGATTTATCGTCCACAAGTCTCTCGTCAACAACGTTGTAGAGATTGGGAGTGTGTCGACGAGGTTCGCGTACCTGATACGCAGAATCACCAAACGGTATTCGCTGAAGGTCATACAGGTTTACGCACCAACCTCGGCACATCCCGATGAGGAGGTGGAGGAAATGTATGAGGATATTTCCAGAGCCATACATTCCTCCAAAATCCTCTACACGGTGTTGATGGGAGACTTCAACGCAAAACTAGGCACAAGAGAAAGCGGTGAGCTGAAGGTAGGGAAGTAGGGTAGGGCAACGGAACCGAAGGGGCCAGCAGCTGGCCGACTTTATGGAGAAAGAGGGACTCTTTATGATGAACTCTTTCTTCCAGAAGCGGCCACACAGAAAGTGGACCTGGTCGAGCCCCGACGGTTCGACAAAAAATGAGATTGACTTCATTATGACGACCAGACGCCAACTGTTCAGTGATGTCTCGGTGATCGCAAGGGTGAAAACCGGCAGCGATCACCGAATGGTTAGAGGCACACTGAACCTAAACGTTAAGTTGGAGAGGTCTCGTCTAATGAAGTCAACGCTCCGTCCCCCTCGTGCTCTAATCCAGAATCCCGAAACCTTTCAGCTCGAGTTACGTAACCGCTTTCAGTGCCTAGAAGATTGCAATGCAGTGGACGATATGAATGACAAGCTCGTGGAAACTGTCCATGCAGTCGGAGCTAAGTTCTGCAAGACCCGCCGCAGAAGAACACAAAAATTCTCCGATCACACTCTTAATCTCATGGCTGTTAGACGGGAGATGAGGCTACAATCGTCAACAGATTTGACAGCATACAGGAAACTGAACAGACAGATCTCCAAATGCATGCGGCGAGACTTACGCAACTTTTATACTTCTCGTATTAAAGAAGCGATCGATCGGAACCAGGGCTCCAAAGTCTTTGCCAGAGATCTGTCTGCCAGAAAGAGCCAACTGTCAAAGCTGAAGACTGAGTGTGGCAACATCGTTTCCGGGACACCTGAGATTCTGAGTGAGATTGAGAGGTTCTATGGGCAGCTGTACACATCATCGTTGGAGCCACACTCAATTGTGAGTAACGATCCAAGAGCAAGTCTTATCCGACACTATTCCGATGGTATCCCGGACGTCAGTCTGGGCGAGATTAGAATGGCTCTCCAACACCTTAAAAACGGCAAGGCCCCGGGCGAGGATGGAATTACAGCGGAGCTTCTGAAAGCGGGTGGAACACCAGTACTTGAAGTCCTTCAGAAACTCTTAAATTCCGTCCTCCATGGCGGCACTACTCCGGAGGCGTGAAGCAGAAGCGCGGTGGTTTTGTTCTTTAAGAAAGGCGACAACACTCTCTTAAAGAACTACAGACCGATTTCCCTTCTGAGCCGCGTCTACGTGCTATTTTCGAGAGTCATTACGAATCGTCTGGCACGCAGACTCGACGACTTCCAGCCTCCCGAACAAGCCGGTTTCCGAAAAGGTTTCAGTACCATAGACCACATACATACTCTGCGGCAGATTGTACAGAAGACCGAAGAGTACAATCTGTCACTTTGCCTGACATATATGGACTATGAGAAAGCCTTTGATTCCGTCGAAATTTGGGCGGTGCTACAGTCCCTTCAGCGGTGTCAAGTTGACTGTCGGTATATCGAGGTGCTGAAGTGTTTGTACAGTAGGGCTACGATGGCTATCCGAGTACAGAACCAGAGTTCTAAACCTATCCAACTGCAGAGAGGTGTAAGACAGGGTGATTTTATATCCCCGAAACTCTTCACCGCTGCGTTGGAAGACGTTTTCAAGCTACTGGACTGGAAAGGATACGGTATTAACATCAATGGCGAGTACATCACTCACCTTCGATTTGCCGACGATATAGTCCTTATGGCAGAATCGCTGGAGGACCTTAGCACTATGCTCAATGACCTCAATGGTGTCTCCCAACGCATAGGTCTTAAGATGAACATGGACAAAACAATGATCATGTTTAATGTCCATGTCACACCTATGCCGGTAGTTGTTGGGAGCACTATGCCCGAAGTTGTTGACGAGTACATTTACCTGGGACAAATAGTCCGACTAGGTAAGTCCAACTTCGACCGAGAGGTCAATCGACGGATTCAACTCGGCTGGGCAGCGTTCGGGAAATTACGACACATCTTCTCGTCAGGTATACCTCAATCTCTGAAAACTAAATTGTATAACCAGTGCGTGTTGCCAGTGATAACTTACGGATCTGAGACGTGGTCCTTCACTGCTGGCCGTATGAGGACGCTCAAGGTCGCTCAGCGAGCTATGGAGAAGGCTATGCTCGGAGTTTCTCTGCGTGATAGGCTCAGAAATGAGGATATCCGCAGTAAAACCAGAGTGACCGACATAGCCCAAGGATTAGTAAGCTGAAGTGGCAATGGGCCGGCCATATAGCTCGAAGAACCGATAACCGATAGGGAAGAAAGGTTCTCGAGTGGCAGCCTCTTACCGGTAGGCGTAGTGTAGGGTGACCCCCACTAGATGGAGTAACGACCTGGTGAAACATGCAGGAAGTCGATGGATGCAGGTGGCTCAGGACCGTGCTTTGTGGCGTTACTTGGGGGAGGCCTATGTTTAGCAGTGGACTTGTGAAGGGCTGTAATGATGATGATGATGAACTCGAACGGCTACGACGTGAGGCTGTTTCCTCCCTGCCGTAGCGTTTTCATCCCTCAGGGATGAAAATGCTACGGCTGAGGATGCAGCGCCACAAATGATAGAGCAACCCGCAAACGTGGATGCCGCCGTGAATACCCCAGTTGTGGTTGATTTAAACGATGATGGAACAGTCGCCCAGGAACTGGAATTAGAGCATATGAGTAGTACATTGGAAGAGGCGATTGTGGAAACGCGCAGTACGCCTCTCGAAAATCGACCGCGACTTCCCCGCATAGCCCTAAGCAGGCGGAATCGGGCTGTCGTGAGGGCTCTGAACCCAAAGCTGGTGACCTATTTGGAAGCCAGCTGGGACCTTTGCAAGAAGGACTCAATTCTTTTTGGCGCCGCGCTGGCAGTCTGCCGTATCATAGGCGCCAAGGTTTCCACGGCTGGACGCGCTACTGGCCATAGTAGCGCTACTATCCCAGCATGGAGAAGAAGAATTGAGGAACGTATCGCAAAGGCTAGAGCTCTCATCGGCAGACTGATATGCTTCAGATCAGGCAATAACAGGCCAAGAATTGTGCGCACCGTCAGGATGGCGTTTGCTGGGACAAATGTCAGTTTGTCCCAGCCGGATATAACGCAAAAACTGACGGAGCGCATAGATGATCTGAAGCAAAGAATCGCTGCTTGGGGAAAGCGAATTCGGCGATATACCGAGAGGTCGACACGGTTCAACCAGAATCGTCTCTTCCAGAGTGATCAGAAGAGGCTCTATGCATCATTGGAGTGACCAATTGTAAATGTAACGGGCCCAGCACCGAATCAGGCCGACACTGTAGCATTCTGACGTGGCCTGTGGTCAGAGCCCGTATACCACAGCGAGGGCCCTTGGGCGGAAGTTGTGGCGAGTCAGTGTGCGGATATTACGCCCATGGACACCGTCATCATAACACCGGATGACGTAGCTGAGGCGGTCCGTAGGGCCCCGAACTGGAAAAGTCCAGGGCTTGACGGGCTGCATGACTACTGGCTGAAGGGGTTCGTGGTGTGTCACTCTGTGCTCGCCCGACAGTTTCAAGAGGCTCTCAACCTGAAGTCGCTCCCAAGCCTCTTCACTTCTGGGATCACTCATTTGGTTCCTAAAGTCCAGGGTACCACAGACCCGAGCAAATACCGCCCCATCACGTGTCTACCGACCATATACAAGACACTAATATCCATTTTGAGCGCGAGAATCACTCGTCACCTGGACTCAAATCAGGTGATGTCGCGCGCTCAAAATGGATGTCGCGGCGGTGGTCGTGGAACCAAGGAACCACTCCTCATTGACGCGGTCATTGGGAAAGTGGTGAAACGCAACCGTCGGAACTTCTCCGCCGCCTGGATAGACTACAGAAAGGCATTCGACTCGGTGCCCCATACATCGCTAAAGAGAGTCCTCGAGCTGTACAAGATAGACTGTACAGTTAGAGACTTCCTCGAGCAGTGTATGGGGCAGTGGAATACGATCCTTTGTAATCTGGGCGAGCGGAGGATGGCTGCGGAGAACCACATAAGGATAAGAAGGGGTATCTTCCAGGGCGATTGTCTGAGTCCAATCTGGTTCTGCCTCTCTCTGAACCCTCTCAGTACCTTACTGGAGGGCTCCGGGAGGGGATTTCAGCTACGGAAAGGAGGGACAAAAGTGACCCACCTTTTCTATATGGATGACCTCAAGTTATTCGCCTCCAGTCGCTCCCATCTTATGGAATTGCTAAACATCACTTGTGAATTTAGCAATTCCATTGGAATGGAGCTGGGGACGGATAAGTGTGCGGTCCTCCATGTTGAAAGGGGAAGGGTTGCTAACTCTGAGGGCATAGACTTATCTATGCCCGTCAACTTAAGAACCCTTTCCGAGGCTGAAACATACCGATACCTGGGTATGTCACAAAACATCGGTATCGATGAGACTGGTATGAAACAGTCAGTTTGCGACGTGTTTTATGCACGTTTGACCAAAGTGCTTAACAGCCTTTTGTCCGGTGTGAATAAGGCACACGCATATAACGGCTGGGCTATGCCTGTCCTCATGTATACCTTTGGCATACTCAGGTTGACTCAGGCTGAACTTAACGCCCTGGATAGAAAAGTCCGCACTACCATGACGTCCCATAGGATGCATCATCCGAGATCGTCGGTAATGAGGCTGTACTTGCCGCGGAAGCATTGTGGTCGTGGCTTCTTTAGCGCGCTCACCATGCATAATCGCAAAGTGTGCAGCCTCCGTGATTACTTCCTGGCGAGATTGGATGATCCATTCTATAAGGACGTCACTTCTTATGATAAAGGACTTACCCCTGTATCCTTAGCCAACGAGCAATGGCAAGACCCGACAGTGCAGAGCATTTCCGACCGGGAGACCGTATGGAAGGAGAAGGATCTCCACGGGAGGTTCTACAAGGCTCTACATGAGCCTGTCGTAGACACAGTTGCCTCCCTCAACTGGCTACGCTTTGGCGATCTCTTCGGGGGAAACCGAGGGTTTTGTCTGTGCAATACAGGATCGGGTTATTAACACCAACAACTATCGGAGATACATCCTAAAGGGTGGCACCGTCGACATCTGTCGAGCTTGTCGCCATCCCGGTGAGTCTCTTAGGTATGTCATCTCCGGTTGTTCGGCGCTTTCTAACTCTGAGTACTTGCACAGGCACAACCTAGTAGCCAGAATTCTTCACCAGGAGCTCGCTCTGAAATACGGTCTCGTGGATCGTAAATTGCCGTATTACAAGTACTTGCCGGAAGCCGTGTTCGCAAAGGATCGCGCCAGGCTCTATTGGGACCGGGCCATCATCACAGACAGGACTATTCTTGCGAATAAGCCCTGATATTGTGCTGATGGACTGGGCACAGTCAAGGATGTTTTTGGTCGACATTACCATTCAGAAACAGATAAGCAAACATAATATCTGGACCTGGCTCACGAGGTGACCAACATGTGGGGTGGACTGCCGACCGAAATTATTCCTGTAGTCGTCTCTGCGAACGGGCTACTCCCAGTCAGCCTCTCGGGTCATCTGAGGCAGCTGACTACGTGGCGGACCGCTCCGGGCTCAAATGCAGAAGGCGGTGCTCCTCGATACCGCCCGCATCGTCCGCCGGTTTCTTTCCCTTTCCCCCTAACCCTCGGCCGTTTCGTCTCCCCTGCCGAGCGCCTCCATCTGGTCGGGCTTTTATTTATTTATTTATTTTTATATTTAGTTTATGTTATTGATATTTATGTATATTTATCTTTTCATTTTCATTTATAATTATATGGTTGCGCGGAAAACCATTCGTATTTATTTATTTGACGGTAGGCTTGCCAAATCGTTTATCCCTTTCCAAACGATATCATTCATACCCTCCTATCGACACATCGGGGTGGTGGGGTGGGAGGGGAAAGTAGATGATTCTAGAATATTAAGCAATCATCGCAACAGAAGGAATAAAAAGGCACGCGCGGCCGACGCGCGCCCTCTTCCCGCCGCGCTCGTCGTTGGAACCACACCGCCTAGGATAATAGTGTCCTAAATAGCTCTTGCCCACGCGCACCGCTAGTATAACCGCTTAGCCTGAAGCAGTCGAGCTCCAGGAAACCCGCCTCCAGAGAGTCTACCCAGAGTATCTTCCAGAAGTCGCAGCATAGAAGCAACACCCCGGTGAGTGAACATTCCTAATAGTTCCTGCTTGATATAATTGTGTTTAATAGTTAATCCGCTCCAATTTTATTTTCTCCTAATCAAGCAGGATTCCTTTCATAGATTTGGCAAATAATAGTTCGTTTTAGGGAAGAGCGAGTGCATTGTATGGGAAACCGCGTGCTATAGTCGCCATTTTATGTAAAGTTAGAAGTATTTCGCATATACAGTCCACTTTGGTTAATATCTCGCGTAATAGGTTTAAGGCTCGACCGGAGAATTGGACTTCGGTAGCCTTAGGCTCGTCCCTCCACCATTTTTTGGTCACTTCGGCAGGATTTGGACTGGTGTTTAGTAGTCGTTCAACCATTTTCTGGTCGAATTATTAGATTAATTATTTAGATAATGCACTCTAATTTATGAAATAGACTTAAATAGTGTTCGTTTAAAATTAAACTTTAGTTAGTTACTTGCAAATAGAATTAATTCTTCACTTTAATGGTACTCGTTTAGTTAAAATTTAAATTTTGGTTAGTTACTCGCAAATAGAATTATTCATTTAAATAGTGTTCGTATTTGGTTTAAATTTAAAGCCGCTTAAATAATTGAAACAGTGTAATCACACGCGTTTTGTATGCTTACCCGACAATTCTGATAAAAATATATTGAGTTTAGTGAGCGACGCGCGTCATCTCGGCTCGCTGTAACAGGTGTTCAATTTAATGACTCAATTGTGTTCAATTTAATGACGTAAAACGGCTCGAATGTCCATCCTCCAATGTTGTGAGATTAATTGTGATTAATATAATTTTATTATAATAATTTAAAATGGCAGTTAGTGGAAATGAAATCAAAATTAAAACGCTTTATGCCAAGAGGGACATACTTTTTTCACGTATACAAAGTATTAGTGAACACATAAAGAACATTAATGTAGGTGCAGTGCGGGAAACTTTCTTAAATTAAATTGAAACGGTGGATTCTTTGCGGACGGATTACGAAAGAATATTAGACCAAATTAATCATTTGGAATTACAAATCGACCCGAAATATATAGTGAACTACCAACCGCTTCTGGCATTTGAAGATATGTTGTGTTGCGTGAAAAGAACGGCGAAACTCTTACAGTCTCCAGCTCAAAACGAAGCAAAGCCGGAAACACAGGTACGCCCACGTGACTCAATTAGGTTGCCGCCAATAGATATTCCGGCATTCAATGGGGATATTAAGACATGGCCCTTCTTCTTCAGTAGTTTTCAAAACAATATACATACTCGTAATAACCCATCGTTATCGGACGCTGAAAAATTATATTATTTAATTAGTAAACTTAGTGGCAGGGCACAGTCAATTTGCTCGGGTTTTACACCTACAGCAAACAATTACTAGTTAATATTCGAAACGCTTAAAACTAAATATGAAGATAGGAGAATGTTAGCTTCCGAATATTTGAACCAGATATTCGATCTTAAACCTATATCATCCGCGAACATCAACGGCTTAGAGCAGTTTTTAGATAAATTTGTGGCATCGGTGGCTGCACTTAAGAATTTGAAATTTAATGACCTTATGGACGTGGTGTTTCTCCATATTGCACTAAAGATATTAGACCCCGACACCGTGCGTGCGTTTGAAATGGAGCATCGTAGCTCGGAGATGCCTTCCTTGCATTCATTAGCATCGTTTGTGCGAGATCAAATAAAGGTGATGCAGCGCTCCCCGAACGTCAAACAGGAGATTAAAAGGTGCGTCGACCGTAGACAGACTCAACCATCTAAAACAGCAGGGTCGTTAACATACGTAACCGCTACGTCGGCACCACTTCAGAATGCCTGTATCATATGTAAAGATAAATACGGTAATTTATACAATTGTGCGACTTTTCGTAAATATTCACCAAGCGAACGTTATAAATTAGTAAAGACAAACAACCTATGTCTGAACTGCTTAAACGATAAGCATTTAGTTGCAAAATGCAATTCTAGTTCCGTATGTAGCAAGTGCGCCAGGAAACATCACACGCTATTACATTTTGAAAATAGCAACATATCGGCGTCAAGTAAAGCGGACAAGGAATTCACCCCTACTAAAGTCAACGATTCTAGCGGTCGACCTGGTGATGTCGCTC